CCCCTCCTCCAGACTCCCCTCCCCCGCCCCCTACTTACCAGCTCGGAGTCCAGCTCCAGCTCCCTGCGGCAGTGGGCAGGAACTGCCCAAATCATTGAAGCTCTCCAAATCTTTTCCAAAGATTCGGAGAGCTTTGAATCGCTTTGGACCTTTTTATTGGTCCTCTGATTTGATTTGGATTTGGAGATTCAGCCACTGAATCATGCTGAATCTCCTCTGAATCGAATCAGCACCTGAGGCTTCACACAGCCCTAGTCTGCAGAAGGGGAGACTGAGAGAGAAGTTAATAGCAGCCTTTAACTACCTGAAGGGTGGTCCAAAGCGGATGGGGCTGGACTGCTCTCAGTGGTGGCAGATGACAGAAAAAGGAACAGTGAACTGCAGTAGCAGCAAGGGAAGTTTAGGTTAGATATTAGGAAGAATTTTCTCACTAGGAGGGGAGTAAAACACTGGAACAGGTTACCCAGAGAAGTGGGTAACCCGTTCCATCCTTGGAAGGTTTTTTTAAGACCTGGATAGACAAAGCCTGGCTGGGATGATCTAGCTGGGGATGGTCCTGCTTTGAACAGGGTTTTGGACTAAATGACCTCAAGAGGCACCTCCCAACCTTAATTTTCTGTGATTCTATGATGGACTTTCTGCTCCAAACAAAAAAAAGCCAGAGAAAGTGAGGAAGAGCCTGTCCACTCCACTACAGCCAAGAACCCAACTCAAGAACCAGCTCTTCCTCATTCAGATGTTCACCCAGGCAAGAGGTATAACTGGCCAGTACTGCGGCCTGAGGATAGCAGTAGCAGTGCACACTGCAGCAATCGGAGGTTCACTGCTGCTGGGGGAGATGTCTGTCAAGCAGCCAAAAAACACTGCTTTTTGGCAGCAGAAAAGGGTGTGACATCTCCCCCAGCGCAGTACATTAGCCAGGCACTGCCCTCACTTTTCTACCCTCCCTGCTGCCAGAGCTGGAGCCACTGTGGTGGAGGTGCTGGTTATGGGGAGGGGGGAAGAGGGAGTGGGAAGGTGAGGTGCCCTGGTAGCTGGTATCTCTCCTCCCCATCCCTGCCTTATGCAGTGCCTGGGGTTCATGCCCTGCTTGCCCACCCATCCTTAAACTAGGGCTTCCATACTAGGTGAGCACCTAACCAGTGGTTTATTCTGGATGTGGGCTGTTTTGCTTTTTTGCTGGGGGAAGCAGGGTTCCCCCTCAAAAATTTTCTAAACTAGGGA